AGCGGACTTTGTCGGCGCCTTGGCCGCGTCGGTCGCCGGCGGCTGCTTGGCCTTCTTGTTCTTGGCCATCCTGCAAGATGACTGGCGCAAATCTGCGGCCGTGTCCGGATAATATGCGCCGGATAATATTGCGGTTTCGTTCATGAAACGGTCCACTCCTTCAAACCAACGGTCCCTCTGTTGCAAAAATCCGTCGACGGATGTGGCGATCTTCCAAGTTCGATCGCCGCACGAACCTTCCGCTACAAACCCAGCGCTGCGACGACGCTTACGACCGCGTTCGCTGGACCAAGCTGCTACTAGTAGGTACTCTTGCCGGCGAGCAGGGAAACAACGAAAACCTTATAATTAATGCGCGCGATGCGAAAAGCTCTCTTCTACGCGTGCGGGCCTTCGTTTGGGCACGAGCGGTACACGGTCAGGCCTTGAATTCCGCTCTCGAACGCCAGCTTTTGGCCGGCAGGCACGAAAAACACATGCCCCGTCGACAGTTCCAGCTTGGACGTCAGCGCGTCGTCGTCGTCGTCGTCGTCGGTGGGTGAAAAGTGGGCGTACCCTTGGCCCGAGAGCACGAGCAAGATCGAAGGACCTGTTGCCGGTGCCAGCGTGTAGTGCTCCAGCGGCGCCATGTCCATGCGCTGCACCTGAAACTCGGGCACGGGCGGCGTGTACTCGGTCAATACCGCGTCGATCGCAGTGCCTTGGCCGATCGGCGGCGTGCCCGCTCTGAAAAAAGTGGTGAGTTGCACTACGTAGAGATCGCGTGTTGCTTACTCGTAGGTGAGCATGTCGCAGAGCGTCGTCTTGTCAATGAACTTGGGCGTGAGCCCGGCACGCACGACGTTGTCCGAGCACGCCATGCATTCAATGCAGTCGCCTGCAACCATGTCAGACAAGGACACGTGCTAGAGAGGTAGGTACCCGAGAGGTACGCGTGGGGCTCGTTGGCGCCGAGGAAGACTGCGTCGCCAGGCTCCATGACGAGGTAGTTGAGCAAATACGGGCAAAACGCGCCAATGTCGTTTGGGTACTGGTCGTTCAAGCGCAAAACCAGCTTCTGCAGCGGCGTGCGTTCGTCCATGGCCTCGAGACGCTCGCGGTGGTTGGCCAACTGCGCAATTGCCTCGTCGTGGTCGCAGTAGACAAGCGCCTGGAAGAACGCTCGGAGCGTGTCGCGGTCGTGGCTTTCGATGAGCGCGTTCGAGATCTCCGGGTCCACGAGCGCGCGCAGCTCCGGGACCTCCTGGATGTGTTCTACAATCTTTTCGATCGGGCGGAACCGGCACCTACAACATGCGGCGTGAGAGACCACCAGGCTGCTGAGACGAGAACGTACAGCGCTTCGAAGCGATTGACCGCGATCGCCATCTCGGGCTTGTGGTTGTCGTCCTTGTAGATGAGTGGGAACTCGGCGTGAAGCTTCTCGGCCGTATCTTTGTCCGGGTGGGCCTGGATGGACAGCGCCGTGTTTACAGAGAGGACCTTGAAGAGGTACGGAATGTCGCCGTCAATGTCGCCAAGCGCCTCGGGGTGCGCCTACGCCTCATGAGCTCTCGCCAGCATATGCGCGCGCACCTGAAGCCAATCCGAGAGGAGCTCAATCGTGCCATCGTGGCCGACGATCTTGGACGGGCCGTTGGGGTGCGTGCCCATCCAGAGCTCGGCGTACGTCTCGTCTTCTTGCACCTTGAAGGTGTGCTCGCTCGCCGACTAGAAGAGAGCTGAGCATGACGGCGCCAAGCACATGGGCGGACCTTCAAGGCGGCGACGGCGCTCTTGGAGCCCTTCTTGCCCCATGCATACTGCTGGGCGACGCACTGCAGGCGGTACATGACGAGGGACGTCCGAGGGAATTGACAGAAATGGAAAAGTGAACTTGTAACGCTGCTGTCGATTTCTCACACGCCTTTTTATTCAATTTAATTATGTGCGCGCGTATCCGGCGCACATTCCACTATATCCGGACGATGGCGTTCGAACTTCGATGGCTTGGCGGCCGCCAACGTAGAGCGTGACTAGTCCTTGCACGGGGAGTATGCAAAGCGCCTCTCGTGTCCGCCTCGCATCTGATCGTACCCAAAAGAGACGCGCGGGCGCGAAATCTGCGCCGTCAATACGACAGCGCCATCGCCGCAACTGCAATATTTGACCGTAGGACACTGGTTGGTCGTAAAATAGTGTACTTCTGAACTATGCACGATGAAATGGTATCATTCTTGCTGTTGTCAATGGAGGTAATACTACAGATGCGGGTACGTCACTACTATACAAATGACAGTGTGAGGTTTTGCAGCGCGCTCTCGCTCGCGCCGAACAGTATTAGCGATGCGGCCATGCGCAAGGTTTGGCTGCGCCACTCTTCTGCACATGACACTATTTACAGTGTCCACGTGGACGCGCTTTTACGGATACAAAAACAGATCGTCCGGATGAAATCCGAAGATTCGAAGCTGGCAGATTTTGTTGGATACGGGTCACGGACGCGGCAACAGCAGCGGCGGCGAGCATGGGCATCACGGACTGTTTACGCAACCATCGTATCCTCTTCCTCGGGCAGAGCATCTCGCTCTTCATCACGGCCACGAGCATCTGCACGCAAGAGCTCACGCTCAACTACGGGGTACGTGGCAGGCCATGGACGCTGCACGCTTGGGCTCACGGGCTCATGGATCCGACGCTCGCATTAGGTGGAGCTTGCGACGACGCAGAACGTGGGCAACTACTTTCTCTTGATCGGCTACCTCGCGCATCTATGGTGGACGACGCCCGACTTTTGCTCCGAGGTGCGCAATGACCAGTGATGGGCGAATGCCATGTTGCTGCGTGGTAGACGCCGTGGTGGCAGTATGCGCTCATCGCACTAGCGGACGTCGAAGGCAACTTTCTCACGGTCCTCGCGTACAAGTACACGACGATCACGAGCGTCATGCTGCTGGACTGCTTTACGCTGCCCGTGGTCATGTTCCTGTCCATCAATTTCCTCGACGCCAAGGTAATGTGTAATGAGGCGACGAAGCATGCTGACGCCTCTGTAGTACACGCGCGTGCATTTCACCGGCGTCGCCTTGTGCTTGTCAGGCATCACGTTTCTCATGATCTCGGACATTGTCCGGGCGCAGGACCAAGTGGATGCGTCGACGGACTGGCACGCGCTCTTTGGCGACCTACTTTGCCTTCTTGGCTCGACGATCTACGCCATCTCGAACGTGGCCCAAGAGCACTGCGTGAAGACCAAGTCTCGGGTACGCATGCAATCGAAGCGCGCGTGCCTCATGCTTGCACTTCGTAGCGGGAGTTTCTTGGTATGCTCGGTCTCTTTGGCTTTGCCCTCAGCGCCGTCCAAGCCTACGCGTACGAGCGCCACACCTTTGAGGCCATCGAGTGGTATTGTCATGTTCATTTTTGATTGAGGTAAATCCACTGGTGTAGGTCCACGGGAAGCGTCATCTTCTTTATCGGTTACGTCCTCGGGCTCTTCCTCATGTACTCGGTCACCTCGGTATGACATCAAATGCCAAGAACACACTCATGCTTGGATCTTACTAGGTCATGCTCCGGGAAGGCGACGCGGCGATCTTCAACATGTCGCTTCTCACGTCCGACTTTTTCGGTGTCGTCGCGGGCGTCTACTTGTTCCAGCAGTCGCTCAGTTGGCTCTACTGCGTCGGCTTCGTCTTCATCATATCGGGCCTCGTTGTCTACAGCCGCGCGCCGCCGCCGACCGCACGTGGCATTGAGGGACACAAGGCCGATGACGCCACCATTCGGCTGCTACCCGAATCCAAGTAGCTCTACCACTTCCGTTCTACTAGTCTTCAATGTACATTGTACGCAACGAAGCTCTTTCGAATAATGGAACACATATCCAAGTTGTGAACTGGTTCATGCAGTAGTTGTAAAATTAATCCTTCTTGACGTCAAGGCTCTCGAGGGCCTTGGCGGCAGCGTCGCCGGCCGAGGTGTCCTCAGCGTCAGCGCCAGCTTCGAGGGCCTTGTTGGTCTTCTTGGCGTTGTCGTGGGCTTCCTTGAACGCCTGGGCGTTCTCGGCGTTGGCGAAACGCAGCGCGAACGTCTTGGCCTCGACGACGCCCTCCGAGAAATCGTAGCACGTCCAGACCCAGGCGCGGTCGCTGCCCATGTTGGCACCCAACTCGGCGCGCGACTCGACCAAGTGGTTGATCGTGATCTTGAGCGTCTTCTCCTGGCGCATGAGCATGCGGACCTTGCCGGCCTCCTTGTGCTTAAGGAAGCGGACGTTGCCGACACCACGCTCGCACCACGTCTTGGTGCCCGTGCCCTTGTCAAGGAGCGTCTCACGGTAGTCAAAGAGCTTGGCGCGCCTATATGTGTTTATGAGCATGTTGCGTATCTTTGGAGAGCTCGTATTGCGTACATGGCGAAGAGGACTTCCTCGTCTTCCTCACCCGAGACGACCTCGACTTCGTTGAGCTTGACGACGGGCTCGAAGTAAGCCTGCGGCTCCTCCGACTCGCCCGTCTCGACGCCGGCGTCCTCGTGGTCCTCGGCCTCGGCGGCGACCGCGGCCGCAGTTTCGTGCTTGACTTCTTCAGTGGACATGTTGCTCCTTCGCGTTGAAATGAAAAATACTATCGGCTGATACAAACGCCAAGTATCAAAATCCCGCCGCCGCCGCCGCCTCTGCCCCAAAAGCCCAAGCCAATCCTAGCATCGATTTAGCGACATTTCTGCCAATCACACACGCGTATTCCCCCCACCACTCATATCGGTTTTAAAATTTTGAGCATCATTTATTCAATTAGCTTGATGATTGTATTGAGCGCGGCCTGCGTCTTTTAAATTGATGGCCGTTGTATTTTTCTCGAAGTCTCTCCCTTCGCGCCGCCACGTATCCGGATGCCACGGCTTTGGCTAAATGCACGCCAATTGATTCCCTCAGGATCCATCCTTCGCGTGCCAAGATGGGTTCCGTGAGCTTATTACGACAAAGGGCATGGACGTGTTATGATGGAGCTATATCTAGGCTCGACTAGTAGGGCATACCAAATATGCAGGCCACAGCGTACTAATCGCGATAGCTTGCGGTGTTGAATTACTTTGAAGGGTTGCAGCAAGTCCACCAACACTGGTCCAACAACGTCATTTTACGATGCCATTATGGCTTGTAACAAGAAGAATAGAGAGCTCAGCTGCATTTCTTTGTTTCTTCTTTTGGCGAGATACTTAAGTCGAGCACGATTATCAACATCGACGGGTTGTGTTGTCCCGTGGTCTATCTTCTACTAGCCACTTCCTAGCAGTGTACTGCACGAGTACGCATTATGTCACAAGGTGACTCTTGCACGCATCAGAACCACACCACTCGGTCGTCGATCGCAAATGAGAGAAGATGCAGTCGTCCTTCCGAACGCCCACAGCAAAGGCGCTGTTCAAAATGTCATAAAGCTGCGTGGATTTAGCCTCAATCAAAAAGATCGTCACTTCGTGTCTCGAACCGCGTCCCAGCCGCAAGTTGCAACGGTTAAAACTCAAGACTGAAAACATGGCATTGAGCTCAAAACTTCAAGAATTGAGTTGAGTGCGCAGTCACGGAAGGAAGATTGTATTGCGATGATGCAACTGCCCGTCGGCGTCGAAGACGCAATCTCGCGCGTGCTCCCGTCCGAGGACGTGCTCGACCGCGCCGAGTTTGACTGCGTCGAGTTCATCAACCGCAACTTCCCCGACGAGTCGTCGCTCGCTGACATCGAGCCCTTTGTGAGCCGCCTCAACGGGCGCATGAAAGAGCTCGACGAGAACCTCTCGCACGCCTCCCAGGAGCAGTCGCTCGCCGCGCATCAGGCCTTGGCCGACCTCAAGGAGGCGCAGAAGGCCGTCTCGCAGCTCTACACCAAGATCTACGACATTCGCGGCAAGGCCGAGCAGTCGGAGGTCATGGTGCAGGAGATCTGCCGCGATATCAAGCAGCTCGACTACGCCAAGCGCCATTTACAAACGTCGATCACGGCGCTAAAGCGATTGCACATGCTCGTGACCGCAGTCGACCAGCTCGAGTACATGGCGTCGCAGCGGCTGTACAAGGAAGCCGCGAGTCTCATGGAGGCCGTCAACAGTCTCTTTACGCACTTTGAGGGCTACACCAAGGTGACCAAGATCATGGAGCTGCAAAAGTCGGTCCATGCGATCCGGGTCGACCTCGAGACGCAGATTTTCGGCGACTTCCAGGTCATTGGCCCTCTCGCGTCCGTCGACGCGATCGCCAAGGACGAGGCCGAGATGCAGCACATGTTCAAGAACCTCACGACCGCGTGCGCGGTTGTGTCGGCGCTCGGGCACGAGACGCGCGCCAAGCTCGTGACGACATTTTGCACCGAGCAGCTTGTGGTACGAAAGATCGCGTCAATCTCAATCTCAAAACAAAGTGCTTGTAGCCTTACGAAAAAGCGTTTGGTGGCAAGGCCGTCGCCGGTGGCCTGAGCAACATTGACGCGCGCTTTGCATGGTTCTTCCAGCTCATCGCAGCCATCGAGTCGCGCATGGAGGCCATCTTCCCCGTGCACTGGCAAATGAGTCGCCGCCTCTGCCTCTTCTTTTGCGAGCGCACGCGCGTGCACCTCTTGTCGCAGCTCGGCGCCGTCGGCTCGGACGAGCTCGATGTCACGTCGCTCCTCAAGGCACTCCAAAAAGCACTGCTCTTTGAGCGCGAAGTCGTCCAGCGCTACGAGGTAAGAACTGATTGGCTCCAAGCTGTACAAGAACGTCATCGACGTTGCGGATAGGGGGATGTCGACGACAATCGGCCCGAACTGAACGAGAAGGGACAGCTCATCGACCCGGCGTCCGCCGAGGGCATCAAGCGCCGGCTGCTGCGGCAGAAGCGCGTCGCCGAGCAAAAGGCGATCCGTGCCGAGCTCCAGACAAAGGCGCAGAACGAAGAGCACATGGGCGTGAGCCACGAGCACGAAGAGACGATTCCGTCGCTCCAGGGCGTGCTTTCGCGGACCTTTGACCCGTACATGACGGCGTACGTGGCGCTCGAGCGTAAAAACATGGTACGTTGTCGCTTGATACGTTGAAAGATTGATCACTGGGCGGTAGGAAGCGATGCTCCATGAGGTCATGGGGTCCGAACTCGTCGACCGCAACGGCGCATTGCCTGTCTTTTCGTCGTCGGTCAACATGTTTGCGTACATTCGCAACAGCGTCAAGCGCTGCACGGCGCTCACGAATGGCCAAACCTTTTTTGATTTGCATCTCGAGTTCAAGCACTGCGTCTCGCTGTACGCCCAGCGCCTCCTTGCCAAGTTGCCGGCGTTCGCGGTCAGTGATTCGGCGTCGGCAAGCGCGGCCCGGTGGCGGCTCGCCGAAAAGCAAGAGGAAGAGCTGTGCTTTGTCATCAACACGGCCGAGTACTGCGCGGAAACCGTACGTCGTCATAGTATGCGACATGTTCAACAACAACAACAACACAATGCGTAGCTCCCGTCGCTCGAAGATGTGATCCGCGCCAAGATTGACCCGGCGTACACGGACGCGATCGAGCTCGCCAAGGAGACAGACACGTGCCACGACGTGGCGACCGCGGCCATGAAGTGCATTGTCCTCGGCCTCGACAACCTCCTCGACGACGAGTGGACCAACATGCAGCGCGTGAACTGGGCCTCGTTTGAGAACGTCGGTGACGAGAGCGCGTACGTCATGGCGATCGCCGACAAGCTCCGGCCGTTCGTCCCGACGCTCCACAGCATGCTCTCGGGGCTGTATTTCACCAACTTTTGCGACAAGCTCGCGGCCGCGGTCGTACCCAAGGTGCTCGGGAGCATCCTCAAGTGCAAGCGAGTGAGCGCCGTCGCGACGCAGCAGCTGCTTTTGGATGTGCATGCGCTCAAGATGCTCTTTCTCAACCTCCCGGCCATGGGCCGTGAGGGCGAAGTTGGCGGCGTCACCGTGCCCGCGCGCTACGCCAAGTTTGTCAACGCCGAAATGGCGCACGTCGAAGCCGTGCTCAAGCTCATTGGGACGCCAACGGAAATGCTCGTCGAGAGCTTCAAGATCATGTGGCCCGACGGCAACGCGGCGGACTTTCAGGGCATCTTGAACATGAAGGGGCTCAAAAAGACCGACCAGCTTGCGCTTTTGGAGCAACTCGGCCTCCAAGCCGCCGCCCCCAAGCAGCGCAGCATGGCCGGCGTCGAAGAAAAAGTGACCGACATGACGGAAAGCTTGAAGACCAACATGCAGAAAATGGCCAAGGCCACCAACCCTTTCAACTACATGGGCTCGACCACGACGCAGTAGCAATTGCATTACTTGTCCTCTCAATGATGTTGCTGTCATCTTGCATTAGACGTAAATGCAGTTTTACATATCTCGGTTACCCGCCTCACACTTATCTTTGAAATACGCACTTCAGACTGCAGACTTCGGGTCGATTAACAGCAAATGAGGTATTATCCTGTTTTGTTTCACTGTTTCGAACATTGCCAGCCTCTCGAGAACGTCATTGGGGCTGTTGATGTGCTCGTATGCTGTATCTGCTGCTTGGTCGTGGTTGATTGCTTCTGCGTCACTACCGATTCCATCCGGTTCGGCGAGTTTACGTCTTGGCGATCTTGGTCTGGAGACCGCGATTGAACTTGGCGAGCTTGTGCAGATCGTGGCGCAGGCCCTGCGATTGAGCGAACAGAACCTGAGCGCGCTCGAGGCTGCCGTCACGCTGGGCGGCCAGCTTCGTGAGCTCGGAGATGAGAGCTGTCTCTTTGATCGAGTGATCGTGGCGCAGCTTGGCATCCGAGGCAGCCAAGGCTTTCTGGTGTTCTTCCTGCAGCGTCGTCGTCACAGCGGCGATGCTGGCTTGGTGCTCGACACGCAAGGTCGTGGCCAACGCCGCCAACTGCATCTGGCAGTCGGTGCGGAGGCTCTCGAGGTGTTCTTCGTACTCGGCGCGCAAGGCAGCGAGCTCACGGGCGTGGCGTCCAGCGACGACCATCACTTCCGGCGCTGTTGCCGCGCGCTGCGTGCGCGTGGGGATAGTCGCGGCGGTGCGTGTGCAGGCAGCCGAGGCGGCGCGCGTCGTACGGGCCGACGTTGTCGGTCCAGGCTTGGCCTTGGAGGCCGCGTTCGTGGAGGAGTTCCAGCGAGGTGCTTGCATTTCAATCGTGATCGAAATATGAGCGCCTTCATTTAGACATCACCGAGCTTTTGCGTTGGGAAAAGCGAGACCCTAGCCCTTCTCTTGATATTTGTATGCCATCGAGTGTAAAAGTGTCGTCGAGCCAGTGGCGATGCTTTCGTGTTTGAGCCTTACACTAGTACGGCGCTCCGCTCTGGTCTAACAGCGCCGCGGTGCATGGTGGCGTTAGGCTTGAATCGACGTCGTCTCCTTGGTGTCCTTGAGCTTGCGGATCTCGACCCGCATGCTCTCGAGCGCCTTCTTGGTCTTCTACGGCCACGACAGGTGGGTTTGACGTAGGGATATTGGTCGTCGTACTTCGTTGGTGGCGAGCGCATACTCAAGGCAGTCGTTCTTGTGCTGCAGCATATCGACGAAAAAGATGCGCTTGAAGGACGTGTAGCCGAGAACCCACGCAGGAAAGAGCCTAAGAAGACGTCGTCAGATCGTCCGTCGTACCCCGAAGCGTACGCATGCACGAGCAAGATCATCTCATTCGGCGTCGTCTGCGGCAGAAGCATAAACAGCGGGTTGTAGCCCATGAAGCGAATGCTCATCTCAAACACAAGAACCTAGAAGCATCCTATACGATCAAGCGCAAACGACACGTGGTAACGGACGACCAAGAGACCGGCGGTCGCGAGGTCCCGCGCATGGGCGTACTTGCGTCCGACCGTCGTTGCGTAGCTAGAGTATCGCAATGAGTCGTCAGCGTGAACAGCTTTCGGTACGTACATGCCAACAAGCCAGAGGACGTAGAAGAGCGCGAGGTTGTATGGCATGTGAGCACTCAGGAGCGTCTCAAAATTCGGGCCCCACACCTCGAATGCTCGGCGCGTGCCATCGTCGTAGAGTTTCTGCCAAGCATGAGTCTTCACCGACGAGAACAAGGGCGCCGTACGTCGTAAGCGGCGTCAAAGACAGCCCAGATGTCGGGGCTCATTTGGCCGCTCGTAAAGTACTGCTTCAAGTGGCTGTACTGCTGCGCCCAGACGTACTTGGGGCCGTAGCGCGAGACCTACACACGGCGCGTCAATCGAGCCATAGCAATACCGACGTACGCTGAGAAGGCGGTAGGGGCTCGACTCGGACAGCTTCTTGCGCACAAGCTAGAGGTCCATGAGGAGTGCATGCGAGCAGCGCCATGCGCCTACCAGCGGCAGGAAGGTCGACATGAGCGCGAGCGACGCGATCCATATGATGGCCTTGGACGGCGTGACCTGCTTCCCTTGGCGCTCGAGGTAGCCGATGAGGAGCGCATGGAGCGGCGCGATGAAGACGAGATAGTAGACCAGCCACAGGCAATCTTCCTTCGTCTCCCACCAGACTTCCATGCTTCGTGTTTCGAATCTGCCTATTTTCAGGCCATATCCGAATTTCAACCTTCGGTCCGAAAACCATTTTAAAAAAATTGTACATTAAAATACACGTTGAAGTTGCAACCATCAGGTCGATGTCTCCTTGTCCAGCGTGCTCATGACGCGCTCGCAGAGCTCAAGAAGCCCTTCGTGCTGCTTCTGTTTGGTGTTGTAAATGTAGCGCACGTTGCGCACCGCGCCCGCCCGCACCAGCATCAGCCGATAGTGATCTACGCAAACTGGCGTCAGAGCGTGCCACGTCACAAGAGTACGCACTGCTGATCATGAGCCGCTCCATGAGGCAGAGGCACTGCTCCAAGACAAAAGTTTCTGTAGGAAAACTCGTGAGCGACGAGACCGCAAACGTGTGAGCCCCGTGCTGCATGAGACCTTGGATGCGTGTGGCCTGGGGCGCGGGCCGGCCGCCTACGTCGCCATCGTTATTGGAGATTCCACATATTATTGCTCATAGCTGTACCTGCTGGCACGTGCAGCGACATGCTCGAAAAGATCGCGGCGGCTAAGAACACGAGATGACCAATGCTATCGTGGTACTTGTCGCTGAGCTGCTCGACGGCGTTGATGATGACGTTGGCCCCATCGAGTTGCGTGAGCAAATCTTTGGCCGCTTCTATAGAAATCGTGACGCTAAATTTAGCAACGCACTGTACCGTCGTCGCGCAGCGTCGTTTCGAGAAGACGCAGGATGCTGTACGCGGTCGAGACGAGCAAGTCGCGGCTGTGCAGGCAGTGCAGCGCGCGCTCGAGGACGCTGCACTGCAGTATCCCGCGCTTGCTTGGATCTACCGTTGTCTGGATCACAATTCCGATGCGAGAACAACCCAAGTACGAGGGTGGGCAACCAGACACACAAAAAACACACGAGCGATGGCCTCCAGCACAGCTGCGTGCTTGGCATGCTCGTCGAGGCCGTGCGAAAGCAGCGGAAACAAGCTGATTTTGAGGACGATTTCCGTGTTGGCCACTGTGCACAATAAGAGTTTCAAGAGAACGTCACGACCCCACGTACCATTCTTGTAGCAGAGATCGCCGATGGCTCTGACGCCGCAGAGATACGTTGCCAGAGGCGTACTCTCGGCAACGAGCAGTGTTCGAATGGCCTCGAGAGCGCCACTTTGCACCATTTCCACTTGGTTTTCATCTACAGCGCCCGTCGTGAGCGATTTCCGATCTGCAATGGCGCACCGTGGGGTGCCCGCGGGTAGTCGTAGCACAGCGTCGATGTGAGTGCACAGCCATGAGCTTGAAGCTCGTCGTCGACGGCAGTGGCTTGCATGCCACGAAGCACGAGGCGCCACAAGCCATGGCGCACGATGGCCGACTGGAGCTCGGCGGTCGAGTGCTCTACGTTATGGGTGCTGATTCACACTCCAGGCGAGAAGCCAAACCGTCGTATATCACGAGTGCGTCGAGCAAGATACTCAGCTGCAGGAGAAACCCGGGCTGCGTTGCATGCAGCTCGATGTGGGCGGCGAGGCGACTCACCACGTGGCACTGCGCCATGCGCTCGCGGCTGGTCGCGTCGTCCCGAATGCACCGGTGCAGCTCGGCGAGGACGCGCTGCACTGCAACTACGTCCTTTCCATGCTGCTCCAGAAGACGCAGAAGGTCTTCCGGCGCCGTGCGATAGAACTGCATCGGTCGTCCGGCCGGCCGTTGAAACGTCCGTGTCTCTTGCCCGGAAGCTGCAACTGATGCGCATCTTGGACCACTACGTTCCCTTCTAGACCACCAACGAATGCAGCTGTAGGAACTTCGCTTGCTATGGAGCTAAGATGTACACGCTGCATCCACCAAGCAGGCGGCGCCATTTCCTGCCTTTCTCGCAAAGCAAGATCGCAGCAGGAATCCGGATGCGGTGTCGCTGATGCGGGTGGGCGTATCCGGACGCCGATCCTGATGTGCCCCTTCACGCAACGCCATACAAAGACCAAGTGAGTTTCGGACGCGACCTTTGCGCATTTGCCAACTTGCAACATGCACGACGAGTCGGACAGCAGCACGAAGAAGACGGCGTCGTCGGGCTCGGCGTACGAGCGCCGGGCGTGGACGCGCAAGGAAGACGAGAGCATTATCCGGCTCGTCGACGAGTATGGCACCAAGCGCTGGTCCGTCATCTCGGACCACCTCAACAATGAGAACTTTGGCAATGAACGCACGGGCAAGCAGTGCCGGACACGGTAGTTGCCGCATCCATAGGCGTTCGCTTCAACATCTACGCCTCTAGATGGCTCAACCATTTGGACCCGAGCATCAAGAAGGACCCGTGGACGACCGAAGAAGAAAGCATCATTGAAGATGCACAGAACCGCCTTGGCAACAAGTGGGCCGAGATCTCCAAGCTCCTACCTGGCAGGTGCGAAGCCACATGGTGCGTGTAAAGTTGTGTGCTAAGGATACGACAGAACGGACAATGCGATCAAGAACCATTGGTACTCATCCATGCGCCGCACGATGCGCCGCATCGCCAAGCAGGTCAACAAGACCGCGCCGCCGCCACCGGCGCTGACGGGCATGCACCCGCGGCTACCGCGCCACGTAGCGATCCCGTCCGACGACGGTGGCGTGCACGACAGCCACGCGCCGAGTCTGCACATGACAAAGTACAGTATTGGCGTCCACAGTCCATGAACCCATGCCGCGATAGAGCGCAGAGCCTCGTGCAAGGGCTCTCGCCCAAGCAAGCGTCGACGTTCCGGGACTGCTACAACGTGTTGTTGTTCAACAAGGAGAACCCCAACACGAGCACGGACTCGCCGTTGCATCCAGCGAACGCGTCGCCGCACAAGCACCGGAGCTTGTCCTCGAAGCGAAAGCGAAAGGACTTACACGTCTGCACGGGGGCAAACAGCGACGGCGGCATGTTCATGCCGTCGACGCCTCGGCGGCTGCACCATACACAGCTGCTTTTGACGCTCCTCAGCAGTGCGTCCGAAGACCCGATGGCCAAGTGCGCCAACGCAAAGCGCAAGAAACGCGGGTCGACGCCGTCCCACGCGATGGGGCCGCCCTCGCGCGAGCGCGCCGGCGCGTACGAGAGCCTTCTGCTCCAAGATCAGTTTGGCGACGCCACGTTTACGGACATGGACAGTCCGTTCCACCCGCTTGAGACGCTCGAGTTTGACTTCAACGAGGTGCGACTCTTCTTGAAGGGAGATGCCGCTGAGAACTAAAAACCGTATGTGTAGCAAGTGGCCGAATTCTTCAACTCGACGACGCCGCTCGGGTCCCACGGCCCGGCGTCCAACCAAGCAACACCGTCGCTCTACAGTCTGCGGCGGTCGCCGCTCATGGCTGCGATGCTCAAGGCGACGCCCAAGTTTTCGTTTGACGACATTGACTTTCCCGCCGAAATGGACTCGGACTTTTACATGGACCCGGTGCCGCCGCTCCGTCTCCGCACCGACGTCAACGTCTCGGTAGCGTTCCCGCCATCGACGACCAGTGCGCCGGCACCTCTCGTCAAGAAGCCGTTCAAGCCGCCGACGATCGACGTCGCGCTCGGCCTCCAGCACGATACGTTTGGCTTTGACCACTCGATGACGCCGTCGCTGACGAGCCCGCAGCTGAGCCAATGGCTCGACGGGTCGCCACGCGGCTTTACGGCGGCGGTCTAAGTCCCACGTCCTTCCTGTGTCTACTTGCTCCCCGTCCGTGCCGATCGTAGGCGCGTGCATAACCACCTTCTTATGTATGATCCCACGCCCATGGGCTCCATCCCACCATCCCAACTCGTTCCGATGCGTACGATTAATACGACTCTAGTCTAGTTCGTCTTGTTGGTGTATCGCAAGTGGCTACGCCGTCAAAATGTATGGGCGCAGCACGTCGGCCACGTCGCCATGGCCGTTGGCCCATGCCACGTCATAGGCAAACCGCAACGCCGGCACTTGATTGCGATAACCGAGCAAGAGAAACTGCACGATCCGGACGTGGCCTTTGCACGCCGCGCCTTCGAGCGCCGCCACCGTGCACCCTTCGTCCCGGTGCGTGCTCAGGTAGCGCACCACCTCGAGATGGCCGTTGGTCGCCGCAGCGTCCATGGCCTCGACGCTGCATGTGCCCAGCGCATGGCGGTGCAGGTAGTCGACGATCGCCACATGGCCATGCGCAGCCGCTACGTCCATCAACGCCATGTGCGCCACAGACGATGCATCAATGAGGTGACGACCATGCAGATGCGTCAGTATGTGAAGGTGGCCATGGCGCACGGCGAGCGCAAAAAGCCGGGGTGGCGGTGCGTCCATGCAGCGCCGCCATCGCACGAGGCGGTCGAGGTCACCCATGACGACGGCCATATAGACGAGGAAGCGCGGGTCGGGCCGTCGCGTGTCCAAGCCGAGGTAGTAGAAGCTTGTGTAGATGGGCGGTCGCGCCGCGACTTCGCTGGCGAGGGCGTACGGCTTGTAGCGCGGCGCAAGATGCACGATGTTGCCAAAGCCATCGACCATCGTCGTCCACTCGCGGTAGAGCGGGCGTAGGTCGTCCAAGAGTCCGCGCTGGTATCCCGTGATCTCGCAGAAGAGCGTGTGGTCGCGCAGGACCGTGTTCATGAAGGCAGCTTCCTGGCAAGAAAAGCCCAATGGTCGGTCGGTCGTCGTTTTCGGAACACTACGAGCACGTCCCACGCCGTCTGACGTGGGTTGAAGAATCCATCGGTGGCTACTCGACGCATCCAGACGGGCTGTCTTTGCACCAGCTTGACCTGGTCGGCTGGACCAACTACCTGGACTCTATGGGCTGCTCGTACAAGGCAAGCGCTGCTCTCGTCCTCGACCTCGGACCTCGGATGCAGCAAGACCGCACGGTATGTAATGGTACACACAACGACAATGCAGCATGGCGTTGGATTAGAGATATGCAGTTGCGCTTCCTGTCGGACGGGTCTGGAGTCACGCAGCGAGCGTGAGCACTTGCTTGAGCACAAGGGTTTCCGCCGGCCGGATGGGCTGGAGGCGCGAGACGACGCCAGGCTCGACGCACAGCATTTGCGGGTACTCTTCGTCGCCAAAGTCGCCAAGGCCATGCGCCTTCTCGGTCCATGGGTTCCAAACAACGGCGTCGCTCGGGAGCGCGCGTGCCCCGAGCAGCGACGCGCGCTTCTCGATGCGCACGGTGTTGCCGACACCGGCCTGGACGATGATCGTATCGGGTGCGTCCGTGTACACGCTGTCGGTCTCGGACGCGATCGTCACGTGGTCACGGTCTTCAATCTGCGTCGTGTTGGACACCTTACTCATGTAGCTCGAGCCCTTGAGGCCATGGACGCGGACGCCCGGGAGCTCGTCGTTGGTCAGCGACGGCGGCGCCGCGACGCGCAAGTACGTGTGCAAAAGCGCCTGGCAGCTCCACTCGTCCGTGTCCGTGTTGGTGATGTGCAGCGCCGTCGTGAGCTGGTGCTGCGCGATCGTGACAATGTACACGAGGCGCACGGCATGTGGCCAAGCGGCCAGCTCGCCCTTGGCAGTCGAAAGCGCAAACGTTGCCGACGTCGAGGCCTCGAGGTCCTCCGATTCGACGAGCGACCACTTGCTCGTGCGTGCAAATCCATGCGACGGCAGCGTCGAGGGCACGAGGCCGGCGCCAAACTGCGGGAAGACGAGCGGGATGCCACCGCGGATGGGCTTGGAGCCGTTCAAGGCTGCGCGCGTCGAGAGAAAGAGCAGGTCTTCGGCGCCGGCTTTAGGCACGAATGACGTGACCGTGGCGCCATACAGGTGCACGTGGGCGCTCGCGCCCGACCCGCGGTGCGTCAGCGCCACCACACCGTCCGTCGTCGTCACTGGCATCTTCGTCGATCCAAAATGACTGCAACTTGTCCGGATACGCCGCATGGACAAAATATGCAATTGGGCGGCTCAGCGCCCAAGCCACAGACCACATGTTGATATTTTGATACATTGCACGGTCTTCTTTCATTTTGTGGCAGAAGGGCAGCCATTCGTCGCCGCTGCGAGTGCTGCCGCTGCGAGAACCGCAACTCCGACCGAGAGTTCGACTCGGACGGCAGAGCACCAAGTGCAGTGCGCGCCGTATGCCCCACCCCATGACGGCTCGTACGAGGGCGTGCACCTCTCTTGCCGCGGCTCGAAACCAAGCACTGCTCAACAACAGTATGTAAGTATGTAAGCTTACCACCCGATTTGCGCCTTATAACAAACGACCACCGCAGCGTCCCGAGCACTCGCAATGACACAGAGCTGCTCGTAGGCTTCCACCATGGCATCGTTGCACGTCAGTGGCTAACCCATGCACGAGAGGTTTACGCAAGGTTGCGTCCGTGTCAGCGACGGCCCTGGACGCCCGTAGCGCACTTGCACTTGCCATCACGTGCTCTCGTACTGCCATCACTCGCATCCGAGGAGCTGCTGCAAAAGACGATGATCGCAACGACGCCGCTCACTCGCCGAATGTGCGCTCGACGTCACTCCATGTATGGATTTGCTGGAGCCACCAGGATACCGTTAACGAGCACCCAACGCGCCAACGCCGGTATCCAATAACTTAGTATCCAGAATGACCCGAGAGCGGTCGAGCTTGCGCGCGCTGGAGTTCAAGACCAGGCGTCGCCTTGTCAAGACACCCGCTCTTCTGCAGGGCGTCCTTGGCCGAGTTGCGCCTCGTGTAGGCCACGAGCGATGCGTACCAGTATCGAGATGATGGGTTCGCGCAGCTGCGTGAAGCAGTCGCAAGCGGTCGAGGGCGAGCATGCGTCGGGATCGGCCGCCTGCCCATCCTCGCCGTCTTGCCCCTTCCGAACGTTCGAATGGGCGACCGGAACATCCGGATAAAAAGACTTCGTGCCAGAAATTCATTGACGGAATTGTCAGGCGCAGGATGGAGGACGACCGCAATGGCATGTCGCTGGGCGTCCGCCAGAGCCTCCACAGCAATGAAGAGGTCTACGCGCGCAAGCAGAACGCGCTCGAGCAGAACCGCATCCTCCAGGAGTCGCTGGCCGGCAAGATCCGCGAGATGAGCTTCCTCGAGTCCGAGTACGTCAAGGTCAAGAAGGAAGCGCAAGAGTGGAAGAAGAAGTTCGACTACGTTTTCCGCGAGAACGAGCTCTTGAGCGTCGAGACAGCCAAGCTCGACGCGGCCACCAAGCAGATTGGGTTCCTCCAGCAAGAGATTACGTTCAAAACCGAGGAGAGCGAGGCGCTGCGCGGTCTCGTCACGGCCCTCGAGGCCAGCAACAAGAAGAACCGCCGGCGCAACCTCGACTCGCTCAACTCGGCGCTGGCCGGCGCAGGTCGCTCGAGCAGCTCGAGCGAAAGCGACAGTCTTCGTAACTCGCGCAGCAGCGTCAAGTCCAACCCGGACAAGCCGGCCGAGGCGCCCAAGGCCTGCAGTGGCAACTGCCAGCAAGCCGAAGTCAACGCGCTCCGCAACGAAAATGGTCTGCTCGTCAAGGACTTGGATCGCAAGGACACGGAGATCAAGTACGATTCATGGTCTACCACTCATCTCATCTCCTTGTGTACTAGGATGCGGGATGAAGAAATCAAAATCCAAAAGGAACGCATCACCGGTCTCGAGACGACGCTGCAGACGGAGCAAGAGATGCAGCTCAGTCGCCTCAAGGAGAAGCAGGAAGAAGTCTCCAAGATGGAGTCGCAGCTGCAAGCGCTCCAGCTCAAGGTCGATATGTCTCGTGCCTTGCATGGTACTTACGATACCCGGTAGATGGACATTCGCGCAAGCACCGACTCGATCGCCAACACGCCGCCGTCGACACCGCCACCGATGCCGGCGCCCGCCTTCTTCCACGACGACGACGAAGACGCGGTACCTTCTTTGTCGTTGCCAATATACAGCTGATGGCAAGGTAGGCCAAGTACAAGTGGCAGCTGCACACGGATGTCATCTCGCCCTACACCAAGACGTACGAGCCGTATATGCTCACAGGCTTCATTGAGAAGGTGCCCTTTGCGCACCGCGAAGGCGTCGGACGCATCTTGCGCCAGCTCATCGACGGCAACCCCGCCAAGTACCCGCAGGTAGACAGACACGTCATGCTCGAAATGCCAAGATGAGGCGTCGCGTAGGACAAGGTGGTCTCGGAGACCAACATGGTCATGCAAAATGTCCCGGCCGAGGTCGCGACCGAAATGACCGAGTTTGTCTTGCCGCTCCTCAAGGGCAAGCACCATTTCAAGGTCGCGTACTACCAGATGCAGCGCGTCATGATGGTGACCGATCTCAAACTCGTGATCGAGCCGCGCGAAGAAGAGTACGTCGCCGCCGTCACGCAGCATGCGGAGCTCGCGGCGCACTTGTTCCTGGGGCCGCGGCCCGACGACGTGCCCAACAAACTCGTGCTGCACACGGCACGGTACCTGCACCCGGATCGCGCGCGCTTCATCTCGCGCCCCGACGGCAACGACGACGAGGACCTCGAGCTGGACCGTACGCTGCACAGTCTTTCCTCATTCTCTGCCGAGCTCATTTTTGCGTGAGGTATTAGTCAACTCCATGAGCATGACGGCGTCGAGCCGGCGGACGTCGAACGCCTCGTTCACAGGCGACGAGCGCCGCGGGGGGCTTCTCTCCAACTCGTTCTTGGGTGCCGATGACGGCACGGCGTCATCGCGGCGGGGCGGGCTCTCCAAGACGATCCTCGGGCTTGGTTCCATGGCGGCCGCCGCGGCCAAGAAGACGGTCACCAAGCACTTTGAAAAGAAGTTTGTGCACCAAGGCTCGCGCTGCGCCGTGTGCTCGGTGACACCCATCATTGGCAACCGGTTTCGTTGCGCGACGTGCGAAGGGTATGCGTCTCGTGTCGTTTGACGATGCACACGACGTGCCCCTGTTGTAGCTACGACTTGTGCGAGAACTGCTACGCCTTTGGCGCCCACGGCCTTGAAAACACGGACGAGATGTTTGGCCGCGTCCAGGAGCTCGTGCTCCAGCGCTGCCCGCGCCTCAAGCAGGAGGCCGAGCTCCTCGAGCTGCTCCGGTTTGAGATTTGCCGCTCGAGTTTGCGCAAATTCTCGTTTGTCGTCAATTGGCTCGCCGACATTGTCCAAGGGCGGTCGACCAAAGACTTGCGCGCCCGCGCAATTGAAGTCCCCGCCATTCGTCGCGAAGTGCGCAAGCAGTTTGTGCCACTCCTCATGATGGTACCCATGCTCTCTCCGAGTCGGCTCTGATATGTCGTAGGTCGTGAGCGACCGCATGGACATTGAAGTGCGCACCGAGTGGGAGCTCGAACTCAACCCGGATCTGGAGAAGAATCTGCACAACAAGGCCGAGGGCGCCCACAATGCATGCCTCGAAGTGCTCCGGATCTGGGTCGCCGACAAGTTTAGCACGACGTCGCCGTTTGTCGAGCGTAGTTTGCACCGGTACAAGGAAGGCGACGAGGCCGACGACGACAACTCAAAGTCGATGGTCGGGACGGCGCCGCCGCTCGCGACCAAGACACCACCGCCGCCGCCGACGAAACCGGCAATGGATCAAGTCGCAACACCGACCGAGAAGGACGCCAAGTACATGTTTCAGGAAATGTAAGTCGACTCCTCGGTCGGCAGAAAGCAGTGCGAGATGCGCCATACAATGTACGTCTTGCCTTGCACGGCGCGAAATTGGGACCGCACCGACGTCGGTGTGCCTACGCATCGATTGCTCGTCTCTTGCGTCCTCGATTCAATAGCTCTCGGCACCTGCAAAGTACTTGCGAACGACGAGCGCGACGCAGTCGGAGGACACGTGCAGTGCGGTGGGCGGTGAGCACACGACACCCGTCGCCACCTAGCGGGGTAGGGTTACTTGTTGTCTGTATCGCCAAGCTCGTGTCGACCAGCTTTGTATGCGCGAGAAGCCAGACGACCCGACCGATCGGTGGGGCGTCCTTGGCAAAGTGGCCGCGCAGACGTGGCTTCTTGCGTGGGATAAGAACTGGTAGCGACAATGGCGCGAGCAGAAGGCCTTCGAGCTCGTCGGCTGCAACGTCTTCGCTGTCCCCGTCGTCGTACTCGATGGTCCAGAGCGCACTTTGCCGGCTAGGCGGACCCACAAACCGCAGCGAGCCAACCTAATTTTGCGTTTTGAGGTGGAGCTCGTACGAGTCCCGCACCGATCCATGGTACACGTTGCCGTCCTCAAACGCCTTGCGCACGCGCAGCCCGACATAACTCGCACAGATGTGCTCTTCGGTGCTCACACAGTTGGTATTCGGGGCATTCTTGACCGCATCGGAGGGTGCAACATCGACTACAGGGTTTGATGGTGGGAGAGACGAGACAGGCTCTGCCAACGCGACGCGCTGCTGTGCCAGCGTCGACTCCAACGCGCTGAGTTGGGCCGACACGGCGTCGGCCTTGCGCTCCATGGCGGTTGCGAGGTCGAGTTGGAGCTTCTGGAGCTTTCGCTCCGTCTTGGCGACGACTCTGACATGGTCTTCTTGCTGCTGCAAGGCCTTGGAAAACTGCTGGCGGTGCGACTCGAGAGCGAGGGCGACGAGCTCGTGCGACGAGTAGCGCTGCAGCATCGTCGGCGTCGTTGCGTCTGCTGGGTCCGCGTCGAGCTCGGTCGGCAGTGCCGATGCGTTTGGCGTCGATGCAAAGTACTCGAGGTGCTACGGCCGCATGAGACGCTGTATAGTGCTATGGGATGCACCAGAATGCGAGTTATGCTACCGGGCGACGATGGAAGCAGCATTTGCAACAACACGTGGTTCATCGCTGTCGAGAGACCGCGCGCACACACTTTGGTTTCGATGGCGCTCGGCTCGTCGTCGGCCTGGCGCGCTATCGCGTGCATCGCCGAGAAGAGGTTCGCATCAAGGTCTTCAAGCCACGGCGCGCCACTCCAAAGCTCGTAGCTATGAGGCATTTTGCCGCGTGCGATCTCATGTACAGTACGTACAGTATGACACCGAGGCCCCAGAGATTGTCGGACGGTGTGACGACGATTCCTTCGTCCGCGCTCTCCGTGGTGGGCACTAGCCGACGCCGTGACGATGCAAGCTAGTACGAGGCAACCAACAATGCACCTGGGAGCAGTTGACGAGCGAGGCAGGGACTCATGTACTGTCGCTTTGACGCCGTAGCGTAGAGTGTCCAGAGCCGTGGGATCGCGACTGCCTCATCCATTGGGACGCACGCAAGGGCATCCGTGAGCTGGTACTCGTAGCTGCTCGTCTCGAGAAAGCTCTCGGCTGCCTACGATAGGCCTTAGTGACGCAGAATACGTACGACGATTCGATCGACCAGAGCTAACGCGACACATTTGGCTTGGATGTGCAGATCGTAGATGGCCTGCACGAGCGAGGACGCAATGTCATGCCGCTGGGTACTTGAGCGTTCTGCGATTGTGCGCAGCGGCGCGACGCCATGCGAGACGACCGCGTAGTAGATGCCCTTGTCGCTGAAGGCATCGAGTACACCCAAGATGCGCTGCGACTGGCGTTGGACACTTTGAACGTGCGCACACTCTGCGTGACATGTATCGGCCGCTTGATATCCCCGGAGTTGCACGTACGCTCCCGAGAGCAGGTCGAGCGCGCGTGTCACCATGACGGTATCGTCAGAGTTGTCAGTCGGCATGGCTTCGATAAGGTATCTTCCATGGAGCACAAGGCGACTGTGCTGCGCAGCAGTGAGCTCGGCGCGGATCGCGGCTTGCGTTGGCAGCGGCACGTCCGAGTGTGGTGACAGCCGCTCGATGGGCGTGGACGCAATGCCGCCTCTTTGCAGCATCCACTGTACGACGCGCAAGGCGCCCGCCGATATCGCGTGGTCGAGCGGCGTCTTCCCATCACAGTCTGTAGACGACAGCCACTCGTTTGGGAGGCCACCAGCTGAGCCGTCGAGGGGCTCAAAGAGTCGGCGCAGCTCGAGACTTGACGATTGCATTGCGAGCGCGTGCGGCGAGTGGCCGTCGGCGTTGCGAAGGAAGATGTTGTTGGCGCGTCGCAGCAGCGACCGACAAAAGAGCACGTTGCCAGACAGAACGGCCACGTGTAGCGCCGAGTTACCCGCGCTGTCGGCGAACGACCGGCTGGCCACGGTCGCTGTGAGGGTGTCAAGGTCGTGCCCCGTCAACGCGAGTGCATAGTGTTGCAGGACGGATGCCAAGCACCAGATGCCTTTGGTCGAACACGTGAACGGCGAAGCGGCAAGCGCACAGAGCAGCACTGTCGCTGGCGCCATGCTACGATGCACAATATCCGTGTTTCAATATCGTACAACATCCACATACCGTTCAATCAAGCGCTCGAGCAGCGAGAACCCGAGAGCGTCGCGCGTGTCGGCGACGCGCGGCGACGCCTCCAGTAGCGCACTGACGCAGGCCCATCGCTGGCGTAAGCTCATGACGTGCACGAGCGGATTGCCTCGGGCATCGACACAGAGCGCGGCGCTGGGATAGGCGGATGCGAGTCGCTGGAGCAGCCACGGTGGCGCCTCTTGAGCAACCGCGACTTGCAGTGGCAAGAGCCGCGTTGCGTTCTTGATGCGGGCGCTCGCTACGTGCAGCGATAAGACACACGCGGCAGTCTCCCAATGCTTGTGCTTGAGCGCAATGTCGAGCGGCTTGATGGCTTCGATGGTAGCGACGGTGGGCGCGACGGCCCCGAGAATGTACGACGGCGCGCCATACTTGCAGCAGAGGTACAGCGTGTGCTGGGGATCGACCAACGGCTCGCGCATCGCGTACAAGAGCATCGCGGCTAGATCCCACTGCTCAAACTGGATGACGACATCGACGTCGTAGGTCGGGAGCGGGTCCAATTCGAGCCCGACGAGGATCTTGGCGCAGTGCCACGCTTGCCCACCGAGAGCGACGGCGAGAAGCGACCGACCAAGCCGGTCCCGACGCGATGCCTAGACAGCATGCGTCATACGCGGAAGGAATCGACCACCGGTACCGTGGCCGGTGCCAGCTGCACGAGCGTCTCAACGAGGTCCCATTGCCGATACGCAGCAGCGACGTGGATCGGGAGGTCTCCAACGGGGTCGGTCTCGGCGACGGTCTCGGGGCACCAGGTTGCGAGCGCGGCCATCGTAGTCCACTGGCGCTCGGCCATCGCAACGTGCAGTGGTAGATAGCCTTGTCGGTCTCGCACCAAGCAGATGGATGTGTGATTTTCACCAGAGTGCGCGGCTTGAAACGACGCCAGCATGGCGGGCGATGCGCAACGGCTCTCGATGGCGCAGTGGAGCGGCGTCTGGTTGTCGTCATTGGTCGTGATCGCTTGCAAGAGACGCGGCCGGAGCGCGGCGAGCGTGGCCACCACGGACAGCGACAAGGTGGAGGACTGACAGATCAAGTGCGCGAGCGAGTTGCCGTCGTCGTCACAGATGGCGAGTTGGTGCGGGCAGTGGAGCAAGATGACGTCGAGAGTGTCCGAGAGGCCGGCGGCAATGACCGCATGGATCGGGTACTCGGTTCGCTTCTGCAAGAGGTCGTCCTTATGAGTGCATGCATTCTGGTACCTACGAGAAAAGACGATACGAGCGGCTGACACACGTGGTCGGGCGCGGCAAGAACGATCTCGATCAAGACCGACTCGGGTACGCTCTGGGTGATGGCGGCGGCGAGGAGGCACGGGCTCTACGTCACCATTCCTTTTGGATCTGTATCATGGTCGACGTGGTACTTTGGTCGGTGCGAGCTGGTTGGGGTCGTGCTGCAGTAGCGCCAAAACCATGTCCCAGCGATGGCAGTCCACCGCCACTTCGTACGGCAACGCTCCCTACAGCGTCGCTCGCACTGCGTGCGTCCTAGGAGCTCGTACCGTAATTGATTTTTCATAGACGCAAGCCGGTGTCGCTGTGAGCTCGGCGCGGACAAGGCGTAGGTCGCCGGACCGGATTGCCTCAAAGATCGCGTACTTCCGCTGCATTCCAGTCACAACCAGTTACACGGTGTCGGCTATAAAGGCCAGTGTCGGCTATAAACCCCAGTACCGGCTATAGAGCCCAGTGTCGTTTATGAAAGCCATTATCGGGTACGCAATCCTGAGAGCGGAAAGCAGACCATCACTCTCGATCGGGGCTCTCGTGGTCGCATTGCACAATGTGGTCGAGCCGCGACCAGCCTCCTCGTGGCCCGCCGCAGGGCATGAACCCGCGCGCAGCGCTTCTCTACGGCGGTCAAGACCGGAATGGCGCCGACGCTGGCCCGAAGAGTACCTACGCGAGCGGACGCAGCGGCAAGCGTAGCGCACGGGCGCGGCCGACAACCGGCCCCAACGCCTTTCTGTGCTTTCGCCTCACCGAGCCAGCAACGATCGCGCGCTGCGAGTCGATCCAGGATGCGATTCAGCGCAAGGATGCACGGCTCGCGCATGGGATGATTCCGCCGCCCAAATTGCACTGTACGCTGCTCGTGCTGCGACTGCATACACTGCAAGACCTTTGGCGCACCCAGGCCGTCTTGCGGCGGGCCCAGCACCTTCTATCTGCGCTCTTTCCTCCGAACAAGACGGTCTCGCTTGACGGTGTCACGCACTTCAACCACCGTGTGTTGATCGCGACGCTAGCACCGTGCCCCGCCCTCGGGTTCCTTGTCGAGAATTTGCACAGCGAGCTCCGCGCGGCCGGGCTGGACCTCGCCGGCAACCATGCACCATACATACCGCACATCACGTTGTGCAAGCTGTCATCGTACGCTTCCATCGACCCCGCGCTCTATGGAGCGTACAGGCATACGACGATTGGAGTACAACCGGTCACGAGCCTCGAGCTCTGCACCATTGGCGGCTCGGCGCGCGCGATCGACGGGTCCCACCCAAGCTTGTACTCAATTCCCAACCCTCCGGTTTCCATTTTGCTCGATGTGCTGCTGCAACCGGGTGACGCGGTGCTGCTGCGCGGTGTCCCGGGCGCCGGCAAGTCGACGCTGGCGCGTCATCTCCAAAGCGACTGTGACCGTCGAGGGCTCTCGAGCGTCGTCTGCACGAGCGAAGGCTACTACGCCGAGCGCAACAGCCTCGTGTTTGACGAGCCCCAAAGCGACGAGCCGGACGATTTTTGCAACCGGACGCTCGCGCATGCGCTCGCGGAAAAGACGGACGTTGTTGTCATTGACAGGGCGCACCTGTCGCTGCGCAGTGTCCAAGCCACGTTGCATACAGTGCGTCATTGCCGCGTCTGGGTTGTCGAGCTCCACACCAACAATGTACTGGCGTGCGTCCGGCGGTCGCATCGCCGCGTCACGCTCCAGGCGTCGGACGAGACGTTGGAGCCGATAGGCGCCCTCTGGGACAGAGCGCTTGTGCGTCAACTGCCCACCGACGTATAGCAAGTGTGTCATATAATGCCGCGATTTCGTTTTCTAGTTTTTCTTAGTTTTTCTTAGTTTTGCAGAAGGTCGAGGACCAGTAGACTTTGCGAGTTGACTTGTAGGGTTAGGTCTCGTACTTGATACTCGTCCAAGCGAGATACGAAATTACACAAGAAAAACGTGGTGATTCCAACCGACGTGTTGACTAGTGCTGTGAAAAGACGTGTTGAAAGTGGAGCAGGAGGAGCTCGACACTGCGGCGATACGTGAGCTAGACGCAGATGATGTACCTCGTACGAAGTCGACTCGAGTGGAGTTCATACAGCAGATGGACGTACCGACGTGCGCGTCACAAACGTGAGCACAAAGCAAAAGAAGCGAAAGCATCGTTCGTGGACGTTGGCGTCGTAGCAAAACCCATAGATCGTCCGCAAAATCTCATGCAGCACTTCGTTCTACGCCACATACCGTCATCAGAACCCGTGCACGACACACGTCAATGTACCTCGATGACGGCCGACTCGTCATTCATTGGAAAGCAGTCAAAGAGCCCCAAGACAAACTCGAGGCGATCTTTCGGAGGCCCCGCACACGTAATCGCAAGCCCAATGCCAATGTCGCGGAGTAGGATCGTGTCGTTGGGCTGCGTGAGCGCCAAGAGCATATCGCGCACGGCCGTTGGTTCCCACGCCTATCAACAACATGATATGTCATCGTGACAGCTCACACAAGGTGTCGTCATCGGGGTACCTGCTGCACGTGGCTCGCGCAGGGGGCCCACACGCGCTGGATCGTTTGCACTTCGAGCGGGACGTCGTAGACGCTCGTGTCTTCGAGGCCGCGCACGCGCCGCACTTTGGAGATGCGTCCCGACACTTCACACTGCTCGACCATTTGCTGGAGGTCCACGAGAACTTGGGTGGCTTCGGGCAGCGAAAAGCTGCCGTACGTATCGATGCGGTCTTCGCACAAGCTCACGTGCAGCATATTTCCCTTCTTGGAGCCTTCGAGGATCGCGCCGCTGAGCGCCGAGTACCCGACCCACTCGTTCTTGGCATTCTGCCGCTCCCAGCGCCACCTACAGACCGCCAATTGTTCGGCTCCGTCCACCTACAGAGCAAAATTACCGGTTCTTTTGGTCGTCGAGAAGACGGTCCAGTATACTGCCGTGGAGCGCCTTGAGGTCGTGGAGCCCAAAGCCAGCGTCGTTGCGCACGGGAAGGCGCTCGGGCAGTGAGTGTGCGCGGGAGCCGAGTCGGTGGTTGGGCGGTGACGTCGACCGCAGTGCGCGCGGCAAGCTCAGCTCATACTGACTTCGCGTCGGCTTGACGCCTTGGTGGAGCGGGCTGCTAAGAACAGACGACGCAATCTCAGCGGGAACGCGCGTAAACGAGGCGACGCTCGCCCGCACCGCTTGAAACTTGGTGGACGCGGGCGTTGGCCACTGCGACGCCTCGGTGGTGAGCGGAAGTCCCGCAAACGTCGCTGGCTCGGGCGGCACGACCATCTCGCGATGACGATGCGCCATCGCGTAGTGCGACCGCAGCGCAGCGACAAAGGGCGCTGAAATGTCAAACTCAAAAACCTTGCGGACGCTTAAGGTCGCGTGCTTTTGCAGCCGCGCGAGCGGCGACGGCGAGGGAATTGGCGACATGGAGAGACTCTCTTTGCCGTCGCGCTTGAGGAGGACGCCTTCGTAGACGGGCAGGACGATGCTGCTGTTGACCTGCACCGCGACGTCCTGAAGCGTCTCGAGGAGCTCGACCGAGTTGTCACACGCGAGCAAGTCGGCCTCCGCTAAACCGGTTCTGAGATGCGACAGATTTCATCGTTGTCGCCGTACCAATGGTCAGAATGCGCAAGCCCATCTCAAAGAGCGCGCGGGGACCCCACTCAAAGAGACAGCTCCACACGAGCTCCGCCACGTGCGTCGGAAGCACGTTGACGTACAAGCAGAGAAACCAGTGGAAGCAAAGGAGCGAGACGCCCGCATGCTGCGACTCCAAGTGCTACACAAGGACCGCATCAACACCCACACGATCACGGTACGTTGTACGGCGCTCAGCTCGGGGAGGTACTCTTGCACGAGTTCCTGGAAGACGCGCTGGTCGACTTGAATACCATCGAGCGTCGGCGTATAGTACCCGGGCAGGATGTCGTCGACGAGCGTCACAAGCATCCAAAATGCATCTTCTTCGTCAAAGTACTGGAGGAGGAACGCGCAGAGAATGTCCATGCTCTGGCAGTAGCCCACCGTCGTCAAGTGCCAAGACGCCGCAACGAGCACGCGCCGGAGCATCGGCACGTTGGCTGGCCGGCACGACGCGGTCGCGAGCCCGAGCCGCCGCTGCTCGACGGACGCCGTGTCGTACAGCATCGTGCGCTCAATGTCGCGGTCGATCTGCTGCACGTTGACGTCCTTGGTCTTGGACGCATACGAGTGGTGGTGCAAATTGGCATAGTGCGACGACGGGAACGATGCAGCTTTGGTGGCGGCGCCCGACTGCTGCAGCCAACGCTCCCGGTGGAAGCCCACGTACTCGGCGTCAAACGCCGATGGCGACGACGACGGCGCCGCTTGCTTGGGCGGTGAGACGACAGGTGTCAAGAGGCCAAAGAACGATGGTGACTCGTGCGCGCTGCGCAGCGGCGCCGGCAGTTTGGGCGGCGAGCTACTGCCGCCCGTCTTGAAGCGGTCCAGCACGGCCGAGAAATCTTTCATTTTGAAAAGTGCACTGTCGAACTTACACTCGAACTTCACTTACACTCGAACTTAATGCACAAAAATCGAAAAAATCGAAAAAAAATCGACAAATCAATACCAAAAGTTAGGAAAAAGTCTTGACCTTGGCCAGGCGAAACACGATCGGTTTGGTACTTGGCCGCGAATTCGCAAAGCCAAAGAGACTTTTCTTGCGGTCGCAGCCCAAGTACGCGCCGGACGTGCCCGTGTCAAGGGCGAATTGCACCACGTTGTTGTTGAGCGACGTCCGATGGCGATTCGAGTTGGTCACATGCAGCGTCACTTGCATGTCGCCGTCTTGGACAGGCTAGAGCAGCCAAATCCCGTTGGTATATAATTCCAAGACACTGCGTCGCGTACCATGTCGGCAATGCTGCTCTCTTTGCGCAAGACCACATGCAGCTCGCCCTTGCTGCCAACGTGCGTCTCGTCCGCGACCCTGAATTGGCGCGGCTGCGCCGAGATAAAGTCGTTCGTTGACGGCGTCTTGTTGTTGAGCGAATATTTGGCTTTCGGAGGCCGCGTGTTGGTGCACTCGGCGGCGGTTTGCGGCGAGAGCTCGAGCACGAATTCATCGTCGTAGCGCAACGTGGTCTTGTGCAGCTTGCTCTTGGCGTCGTCACGCGTCGGCATGCTAAATGAGCTGACATGATTCTACAGATCTCACGAATTGCTGTACATGACAAAGCGGGCGACGGAGAAGAGCGCCGAGTCGACGGGTGGCACGACAAGGACGTTCTGCATGTGCTTGGCGTCCGAGGACGTCGACCAGCGCATGAAGCCAATGGGCGCATCCTTAGTCGCCTTCTCAAAGGCCGACATGGCGTGGAGCTCAATCGTGTCGCCAAAGCGCAGCTCCCTGCTCTCGAGCGAGTAGAGTCGCGCGAGGTCTTCGGTCACAACGTCGCCCAACGCGTTGGTCTCGATCTCTGGAATCGTGACCTGCGAGCACGAGTTGCGGCTGTGGGGCCGCGTGCGCGGCGACGGCGTAGGGTACGCTTCGTTGATGCTCTTCCGCACGCGCACCGTCACGGGGGTCTCGGGCATGATGAACTGTCTTGGTTGTGGATATTTTGGGTAACGAAAAACGGACCCCGCAAGATGGCGCCACCAACGTGACCATAGCGTTACGTTGACAGGATCGTCCAGAGCAAACGTTCGACAGGGAGTTGTTGGAGTCGGTACAACCACTAGTTGGCACCACAGGCCTTGCACCTTCCTCGCAGCCCTATCGACTATAGAGCGCTTTGTCCGCTGTCACCTAATCGGCTCAAAACGAGCCGAAGACGGCGGCGGTATCAACGCATTGCCAAATGACAATGCTATACATTTGGCAAACGTATCTGTGGAATTCGAGATAGCTTTCGTTGTGTAGATATCATTAGAGGATTTGAAATAGCATCTAGCTTTAGTGGGGGGCGCCAAGATGCCCGATCGCGACCATTTCGTCTTTGGAGAGAATGAACTGGTACGGCTTGGACGGGGCGGCGCTGGCCACATCGTGCACGAAGGGGTGTGTGAGGCTAAAGAGATCTGCGACGTTTTCGTCCGAGTACGGCTCGTCGCCTTCGACCATCGGCACGCACACGAGACCTCGCTGAAGAAGCCACTTGACGGCCACTTGGCTTGGCGTCTAATGCATCCTTCTGGTCAAGTTTCTGGAGCTTGATGAATCACACCTTGAGGGGTAGCATCGGCACGCTGGCGTCAACGGGGGGCGACAGCACCGCAACTGCCGTGTCGGCTTGCACCGTCTCGGACGGCAGCGTGTACTTGAACGTTAGCGATGCGTGGGAAACTGCGATGGACGCTGCGAGCTGCAGCCAGCGCTCGCGATCGGCATACGCGACCGTGTCGGGCAGTGCGGTGGGACATCGAGCCAGCACGTCCAATTGCTTTGCATGAGCAAACCGAATGACGTGGCGTTGCGGCTGGAGTGGGTGCACACTCAAGCAGATAATCTCGACGCGGTCGGTCGGAAAGCGGTCGAAAAGCACTTCGAGGAAGACGACTGGAAAGTCGCTGACGCCAATGCGCTTGACTAGCCCTTCGTTGCGCATCTCCACCAGCTGGCGCCATCCGTGCTCGAGCTCATCGACACAAAGTTGCTACGCGCGTGATCCACTTGGGTATCGACAACATGATCAATACCGTCTCGAACGGCGGGAGCAAGCTCGCTGGCAACAACAGCCCATCCAAGTACGCAACGTCGAGCTTGGCGAGAAGGTCGACGACCTTTGTTCGTAGCGCTGTCGGGTTCCACAAGTGGCTGCACTCGCACACGATGCTAAGTTCGTCACGTCGCAGTATAGTCGTGGCGACTACGTCTCGAATGGCCTTTTTGACTAGAGCATCCGTGATAAGTTGGCTCCCATCCGGTTTGAGGACCTTTGGCGAGCTGGGGGGCGTCGTCGGGGGCGCCGATATATATACTCCGCGTGCCTCTCTCGAGCGCTGTCGCCAGTGCGCGCTTGCCACTGTCGTTGCTCGCGGCCGAGAAGAAGATACGCTGGGCGTCACCGAACGCACTGCGGCGTCCGTTGTACGTGTAACTCCACATACAATTGCAAACTGAAGGAACCGTTTCGACACTATCAAGTTGATACCATATATGTAGGTACAAGAACGCTAGGTTTGAAGCAAGTGGGCGAGGGGCTTGAGCGCACACTCGCTCACTGAGTCGAGGACCCACTCGTACCCGACCGCGTAGATGGTGAGGCCGGCCGCTGTTGTTGGGAGTGGCAGCACAACGTCCATGGCCTCTACAATCACGACGCACGTCCGGCTCGAGGTCTGCGCCGCCGCCTTGACAAGGTCGTCGAGGCTGGAAACGATAGTACCGTCACCGAGGCGAACGAGGGACCCAATTTCATGCTTTGGGGGGAGTGGCGAGGCAAAGTTGCCGTATACGACGCACACAAGCGAGGCAAAGAGGCGTGTCCCGACGGCACTCGGCACGCCCGTGGCCTGACCCAGAAACATTGGTCAACTCGATAGACAGTGAACGCTTCACGTACCGTCGCGAGGTTGGCTTGGCGGAGGAGGCGCGCCTTCTTGGCAATCTCGGGCACATGCTGCACTTTCAGCAGCCCCTGGACTTCGTACGTCTCTTCGCTCACGAGTCCCTTTGCCTTGACGCACGCTACCGTACGTCAGTCCCATGAGTGGAGAAGGCGATGAAAAAGGGACCTTGAATCCATGCATCGCTGACGATCCAGCGACCCGACACGACGGCTTTGAGGTACTTGATGGACCGGATCTTGACCCAACGATTGACTTTATCCGACAGCTGGAGCTTCTGGCGCATCGGCGCTGCGTGCTGGCACTTGACAATCACGTGCGTGACCGACTCGGTCCATTCGTGCACCGTCGTCGCGCCCACGAGCTGCGCGCACGACTCGACGAGCGTCTTCTCATCGTGGTTGAGGCCCGAGCAGAGAAACACGAGCGCTTCGCGGATGTGGACGGCCTTTTTCGCTTTCTTGGGCGCTGCCGGCGGAGGACTCTCGATTGCTGGCGACAGGCGCTTCCGAGATGGTATCGTTCGTGCTGAGGAGGGCGCAGGAGAGGTCCTTGCGTCGTCGCTGCTGTTGTTGTCGTTGTTGCTTGTGCCAGCACTTCGAATGTAAACCGGATCGACGCGACCTTCGCGGCCGCCCAAGACGTACTTGACGTTGTACGTGCCATCTACACCCATAAACCAATCGACAAATTGCGTTGGCAAGGTTGAGAGATACCGTCGTTGCGACGGACGATCCACGCCGTGCCACCGAGCTTGTTGATGCCGGGCCACGTGCGCGCGCTGACTTCGACGACTTGGCCGCCAGTGAACACTTCAGTTTGCGGCGGCCTCTCGGGCGAGAGGATCGCATTATGCACCTCTGTCTCGGGCGCGACGACAGGTACGAGGGGTGGCGCGTCGATTTGCGTCGCCTGTGTGACCGAGTTGGACTGCTCGTACTCCGACTCTTCGCTGCAGAGGTCGATGCATATACTCGTGGGCACTGTCACCGCCGGCACTGGCGCTTCGATCGCTGGTCGCATGGCCATGAGCTTTTGCAGCGCGTCTTGGATGCGCTGCACCGAGGTATCGTGGCGCAGCGTCCGCTTGCGCACCATGGCCTTGCAGACAGGGCAGGTGGTCGCAAAGCCTAGCGCCGTGTGGATGCAGGCCTCGCAGAAGAAGTGGTTGCATGGCAGCGAGAAAGGCCGGCTAAGCGCCTCGAGGCAGATCGGGCACCGCATCTGCGTGGCGAAGGCGTCGAGCGCGCGGGCGACGGCCGCATGCAGCACCATATCACGTTCCCTCCAAAATTGCACTTGGCCGCGGTTATCGCAATGTGACCGGATACATGCGTATTATCCGGATTGCTCGGTTGCATTTTCGCATTCGCCCTGCAGCAATGGCCGATCTGCTCATGGACGGCCTCACCTCGATGGGCATGGAAGACGACATTGAAGACGAAGACCCGCTGGACGCCTACATGCGGACGCTGCAGGCTGCACCGAGCCGCGAGCCGGTGGCGACTGCGCGCGACTTCCAGCGACGGCTCGCGCCCGGCCTCGACGCGAGGATAAAGAACCGCCGGTACTGCAAGCTCCAAGAGCTGCTGCGGACGTCCAACTACTTTTCGGACGAGAACATGGAGCGGCGCAGCCCGAGTTTGTTTCACTTCCACCTCGGTCGGTACATTCCGCCCAACACCTCGGCGCGGGCCGAGCCAGCGGTACGCTGCTGCCATCGTTTGCACAAAGGAGCTCAGGCGATGTAGTCGCTCTCAACCTTCTTGATGGCGTCCATGGACAAGCAAGCGCTCGAAGCAAGGAAGGAAGAGGAAGAAAGCGCATGGGGGTACACGATTGCCTACTGTATGAAAACCGGTCGCCTCATCTTGGAGCGTAGAATGATGCGGCACCATCGACCGGCGCCCATCAAAGAGCCTGCCCTGAACAACCATGGTAGCTTTGAAGAAGAATTCGACTCGGACAGTGACGACGAAGCGCAAGACGATTCGATGGACGACGTGGCAGCAGATCCGCAGGGCATGGTCTACGATGACGACGACGAAATGGATCAGCTCAGTATCGAGGAGCGGCGGCAGCAGCTCGTCGACGTCATGTGCCAGCGCTTTCTCCAAGGTCTCGATGTGGGCTTCACCAAGTACGACGAAGTGGACGACAGCATCGCGTACGATGACTTTACGGCGCTCACACGGGACGCGCACGATGCGTATTTTGATGACGAAGAGTAGACAAGCTCTCCACAATACAATACACAAGTTATTACAACTTGTCAAACGACTGGAGATACCGCCACTTGCCGACCGGGAGCGTTCGCAGCTTGATGTTGCCAATGCGCACGCGCTTGAGCGCGACGACCTTGAGCCCGACCTGCTCGCACATGCGGCGAATTTGGCGGTGTTTGCCTTCGGTGAGGATCACGCGCAGCTGGTTTTCGTTGATGATTTCGACCTTCTTGGCACTGAAGAGGACACCTTCAATGTAGATACCGTCCCGTAGCTTTTGCACCTTGACTTGCGTCGCCCGGTCCTTCTCGTCCAAACTCAAATTGACGCGCACGAGGTACTCTTTCTCGACACCGCCTTCCGGGTCCAGAATCGACTTGGCGAGTGTGCCGTCTTGCGTAAAGATAAGGAGACCGGTCGAGTTGACGTCGAGGCGGCCACAGACTGCCATCTTTGGTAACGCCAGCGGCCCAAAGCGCTCGACGTTCATCTTCATCGGGCCATCGAGAAGGAACGGCTGCTGGACGCTCAGCTCCTTGAACTCGTTCTCGGGGGACAAGAGCTTGATCGCGGGCGCATGGCCATTCTCAGGCTGCGACGAGACGAGGTTGAGCGGTTTGTTGAGGATCACAGTGACCTTGCTCTTCCGGTGTGTGTTGGCATCGCGGCTAAGCTCAATCGTGCTCGATGGGTGGACTTTGGAGCCGAGTTCGGCAACCTACACCCGAGTTAGATGCGATCTGGTACGGAGTACGTACAATCTCGCCATTGACGCGAACGTTGCCACTCTGAATGTAGTTGTCGGCCTCGCGGCGCGAGCAAATGCCTAACGTTGATAGCATGTGAGTGTCGATGTTGATGGCGCGTTGCACCTTTCATGGACATGAGCTTGCTGAGGCGTACGAGGTCCGTGTCTGCGCCCGGAGCGCTAAACGACCGGAAGCTCAAGGCGCTTGGAAGCGACAGCGCACCAAGCACAGACGTCGGCCAGCGCGGCACGGCCCGGCCGGCGTATCTTTGCAGGAGCAACATCGCGCGTCCAAACCAACAATCATATCGCGCCTTTTACGGATACTAAACATGCATTAACCGGACTCTTGGTTTGAGCCTTTAATTGGCTCTTTGGTTAGGAATTTAGACCAATCATGTGCGAGTC